CCCGCCCCATTCCCGCCCTTCCCTCCCTCCCTCCCCTCCAATTCCTGCCCAAATCCTGGGAATGCCCTGGATCCCAAATCCCAAACCCCAGGAATTCCCTGGAATCCCCTGGAGCCCCAATCCCAGATCCCAAATCCTGGGAATCTGCTGGATCCCAAACCCCAGGAATTCCCTGGATCCCAACTCCCAGAAATTCCCTTGACCCCGAATCCCAAGAATCCCGGGAATCCCCTGGATTCCAAATCCTGGGAATCTGCTGGATCCCAAACCCCAGGAATTCCCTGGATCCAAAATCCCAGCTCCTGAATCCCGGGAATCCCCCGGGTCCCGAATCCCAGGAACCTCCCAGATCCCAAATCCTGGGAACCCCCTGGATCCCGAATCCCAGCTCCTGAATCCCGGGAATTCCCTTCATCCCAAATCCCAGGAATCCCAGGAATCCCCCGGGTCCCAAATCCCGGGAATCCCCCGGGTCCCGAATCCCGGGAATGCCGCGGACCCGGGCGGTGTCGGAGACGAATTCCAGCCGCTCCTCGGGGCTGGATCCCTCGGGATAACGGAGCCCGATGCTCTCGGCCGTGTCGTAAATGCTCTCGAAATACCTGCGGAGGAAAACCGGGAAAGATCCGGGAAAGATCCGGGAAAAAATCCCGGGACAAAATCCTGAAAAATCCGGGACAAAAATCCTGAAAAATCCGGGACAAAATCTGGGGAAAATCCAGGACAAAATCTGGGGAAAATCCGGGGGAAATGTGGGAAAAATCCGGGACAAAGCGCAGGGAAAAATCGGGAAAAAATCTTGGGGAAAATCCAGGAAAAAAATCTGGGAAAAACCTGGAGAAAATCCAGGACAGAATCCGAGGGAAAATCCAGGGGGAAAAAAAAAAAATCTGGGAAAAAAATCTGGGAAAAGAATCCCAGAAAGCCGGGATTTTTTGGGGATTTTTGCCGATTCCCAGAGTTTCCTCCGGAAAAGCCGGATCGGGGTCACCGGGGGCGATCCCAGAAAAAGCCGGGATCGGCTCCGAGCTGTGGAATTCCCATATTCCCGGATCTCCCTGCTGCGGAATTCCCGGAATTCCCGGTTTTTACCTGCTGTGGAATTCCCAGATTTCCCAGCACTCTGGGATTTCCCTGCTGTGGAATTCCCGGAATTCCCGGATTTTCCCTGCTGTGGGATTCCCGGAATTGCCGGCATTCCCGGTTTTTACCTGCTGTGGAATTGCTCCCGGTGGTCGCTCAGCAGCACCCCCGGGATGCTCCGGGCCCGCAGGAACCTCTGGAATGCCGAGGGGGGGAGGGGCCGGGAGAATCCCGGTTCCCGCACGGAGACGCCGGAGCCGGAGGCGGCGACACCGAGAGCGGCCAGGAGAGCCCGGACCTGGAAAAGCGGGAATGTGGGGGTGGGAACAGTGGGAACAGCGGGAACAATGGGAATGGGAACAATGGGAACAGCGGGAACAATGGGAACAATGGGAATGGGAACAATGGGAACAGCGGGAACAATGGGAACAATGGGAATGGGAACAATGGGAACAGTGGGAACAATGGGAACAATGGGAACAATGGGAACAGCGGGAACAATGGGAACAGCGGGAACAATGGGAACAATGGGAATGGGAATAGCGGGAACAATGGGAACAATGGGAACAATGGGAACAATGGGAACAATGGGAACAGCGGGAACAATGGGAACAGCGGGAACAATGGGAACAATGGGAATGGGAATAGCGGGAACAATGGGAACAATGGGAACAATGGGAACAATGGGAACAATGGGAACAGCGGGAACAATGGGAACAGCGGGAACAATGGGAACAATGGGAATGGGAATAGCGGGAACAATGGGAACAATGGGAACAATGGGAACAATGGGAACAATGGGAACAGCGGGAACAATGGGAACAGCGGGAACAATGGGAACAATGGGAATGGGAATAGCGGGAACAATGGGAACAATGGGAACAATGGGAACAATGGGAACAGCGGGAACAATGGGAACAATGGGAACAGCGGGAACAGCGGGAACAGTGGGAACAATGGGAACAGCGGGAACAATGGGAATGGGAAAAATGGGAACAGCAGGAACAATGGGAACAATGGGAATGGGAACAGCGGGAACAATGGGAACAATGGGAACAGCGGGAACAATGGGAATGGGAATGGGGATGGACGGGGAATGGGAACAATGGGAACAATGGGAACAATGGGAATGGGAACAATGGGAACAACAGGAATGGCAACAGCAGGAACAGCAGGAACAATGGGAATGGGAACAATGGGAATGGGGATGGGAAAAATGGGAACAACGGGAATGGGAACAATGGGAATGAGAACAGTGAGAACAATGGGAACAACAGGAATGGGAACAATGGGAAGAATGGGAAGAATGGGAACAATGGGAATGAGAACAACGGGAAGAAAGGGAACAATGGGAATATGGGAACGGGGGAATGCGGATGGAAAATCGGGAATGGGAACAACGGGAAGGGAATGGGGATGTGGGAATGGGGACGGAAAAATGGGAATGGGAACAATGGGAATGGGGGAATGGGGATGTGGGAATGGGAATGTTGGAATGCCGGGAATGCCGGGAACGCCCCCAGCGGGACGGGATGGGAAATCCTGCTGGGAATTCCGGATTTTCCCGGGATATTCGGGATGGGGATTTTCGGTTGGAACATCCACGGAAAAGGGAATTTGGGAATTCCCGGGGATTTCTCGGGATGAGGAACATTCCCGGGATTCCGGCCTCACCTGCTCGTCCACGGATTCGTTCCGGCGGGAGATGGGATCCGTGTGCAGCCAGAGCACGGAGTCGTTCCGCAGCGCCACCTGGAATTCCAGGGAAAAACCCCGGCTGGGATGGGAATTCCAGGGAAAAACCCCGGCTGGGATGGGAATTCCAGGGAAAAACCCCGGCTGGGATGGGAATTCCAGGGAAAAACCCCGGCTGGGATGGGAATTCCAGGGAAAAATCCCGGCTGGGATGGGAATTCCAGGGAATTTGGGGGGAAATTCAGGGGGGAATTCAGGGAATTCTGAGGGAAACTCCGGGAATTCCAGGGGAAACTCTGGGTGGGAATCTCGGCTCCGGGATTCCCCGGGAATTTTTTCCCTCTGGAATTTCCCGGACCTGGCCCAGCTCCAGGAAGGCTCCGACGTTTTCCAGGCGCAGCGGGAATTTCTCCTGCTCCATGTCCCAAACCAGGCGGGAGCTGCCGATGTAATCGAAGCTCTCCTGGAAAAGGGAATTCCGGGAATTGCGGCTGGGAGCCGGGAAAAGGGGGAAAAAAAGGGGGAAAAAAGCCAGGAAAAAAAACACGGAAAAAAAAATGGAAAAAATCCAAGGAAAAGGAGGAGGAAAAGAAGGGAAAAGAAGGGAAAAGGAAGGAAATGGAGACGGAGCCAATCCCATCCAAAATCCTGGGAAAAAAACCCCATTCCCGAGGGCTGGGCTGGGATCTGGGGCTGATCCCGAGGGCTTGGGCTGGATCCTGAGGGTTTGGAGCCAATCCCAAGGATTTGGGGCCAATCCCGAGGATTTGGGGCCAGTCCCAAGGATTTGGGGCCAATCCCGAGGATTTGGGGCCAGTCCCGAGGATTTGGGGCCAGTCCCGAGGATTTGGGGCCAATCCTCGGGATTTGGGGCCAGTCCCAAGGATTTGGGGCCAATCCCTAGGATTTGGGGCCAATCCCGAGGATTTGGGGCCAATCCCAAGGATTTGGGGCCAATCCCGAGGATTTGAGGCCAATCCTGAGGATCTGGGCTGGATCCTGAGGCTCTGGGGTCAATCCCAAGGAATCGGGGATGATCCCGAGGATTTGGGGCCGGATCCCGAGGATTTGGGGCCGGATCCCGAGGATTTGGGGCCGATCCCACGGGAATTCCGCTCTCACCCCCTGGAAGAAGACGAAGAGAACGTTCCGGGGCAGGAGCTGCGATCCCGGAGCCGCCGCCAGAGCCTCGGCGGCCGCCAGGAGCGAAACCAACGGAGCCACCGAGGCCGCGGCCCCCGGAGCCACATTCCAGAAAAACGAGCGGCTGTCCACCTGGAAAAGCGGGAATGGCGACGGGAAAAACGGGAATGAGAGCGGGAACCCGCCAGAAAAACGTACCCAGGGATTTACCCGGGAATTTTCCAGGGATTTTTCCAGGATTTTCTCAGGGATTTTTCCAGGGATTTCTCCGGGATTTCCCAGGAATTTCTCTGTGATTTTCCCAGGACTTCCCCAGGGATTTTTCTCAGGATTTCTCCATGAATTCCCCAGGGATTTTCCCATGATTTCCCCAGGATTTTCTCAGTGATTTCTCAGGGATATCCCAAGAATTTCTCTGGGATTTTCTCAAGGATTTCCCCAGAGATTTTTCTCGGGATTTCTCTGTGTTTTCCCCAGGATTTTCCCAGGGAATTCTCTGGGATTTCTCTGCAATTTCCCAGGGATTTTTCCATGATTTCCCCAGGATTTTCTCAAGGATTTTCCCAGGGATTTTCTCAGGGATTTCTCTGGGATTTCCCTGGAATTTTTCCCAGGATTTCTCTGGGATTTTCCCAGGATTTCCTCAGGGATTTCTCTGGGATTTCCCTGGGATTTTCTCAAGGATTTTCCCAGGGATTTCTCAGGGAATTTTCAGGGATTTCCCCAAGGATTTTTCCTGGGATTTCTCTGCAATTTCCCCAGGATTTTCCCAAGGATTTCCCCTGGGATTTCTCAGGGATTTCTCTGCAATTTCCCAGTGATCCTTCCACGATTTCCCCAAGGATTTCCCCAGGGATTTCCCCGGGGATTTTTCCTGGAATTTCCCTCGTGCTTTCCGGGTGTTTTTCCCAGGATTTTCCCGTTTTTCTGGGTGTTTTTCCCGGGATTCTCCCGGTTTTCCGTACCCGTGTGGCGGCCAGCACGAGGCGCTGCCCGGGCTCCACCTTCCCCGAGGCGTTGATGGGCTGCAGGGAGCTCCAGACGTTGAAATCCAGCAGCGGGTCGCACACGATCTCTGCGGGAACGGCGCCAAAATCCCGGGAATCGCCGGGAAAAACCGGGAAAACCCCGCGGGAATCCCGGCCGGGAAAAGGGGAGGAGTTAACGGGGTCGGGCTCCGAAGTTTGGGAAGAGAGGGGGGGAATTCCAGAGGGGATTCCATGGAAAAAAAAGGCAGGGATTGGTGGGATTTGGGGAGCTCCAGGCTTTGGAATCTCTGGGAAGAGAGGGAAACGTTCCTGGAGCTGGAATTGCAGCGGGAACGAGCGGAAAATCCCAATTTTTGGTGAAAAAATGGAATTCCTGAGGGGATTTTTATGGGAAAAAAGCAGGAATCACCGGGCTAGAGAGCAAAATCTGGGAATGGATCACCAGGAAGAGAGGAAAGCGCTGCAGGCATTGGAATAACGTCGGAAACGAGGCGGAAATTGGGAAAATTCCATGGAAACCGCCAGGGAAAATGGGACTGGGTGGGAAAAACTGGAATTCCTGAGGGAATTTTAGGGGGAAAATTAGGAATAACTGGGATAGAGAGTGAAATCTGGGAACGGATCACCAGGATGATCTGGGAAGGGAGGGAACCGCCGCGGGAGTCGGAATAAAAGGAGAAAGGAAGCAGGAAACGGGAGAATTCAACTGAAACTGTGGGGAAAATGGGATTCCATTGGAAAAGTCGGAATTCCTGAGAGAATTTTAATGGAAAAATAGCAAAAATCATGGGGATAGGGAGTGAAATCTGGGAATGAATCACCAGGAAGACCCGGGAAGGGAGGGAACCACCGCGGGAGTTGAAACAACAGCAGAAATGAGGCGGAAAGTGAGAGAATTCCATGGAAACCACGGGGAAAAATGGGATTCTGTTGGAAAAAGCGGAATTCCTGAGGGAATTGTTGTGGAAAAACAGCAAAAATCACGGGGATAGGGAGTGAAATCTGGGAAGGAAATCACCAGGAGGAACCGGGAAGAGAGGGAACCGCCGCGGGAGTCGGAATAAAAGGAGAAAAGGGGACGGAAAGCGGGAGAATTCCCGGGAAGCGGGCGGGAAAAGCGGGATGGGGAACGGGAATGCGCACCCGGGTTGATGCTGAAGGCGCTCTGCAGCGAGCTGCGGCGCATGCAGGTGGCCGTGCTGGCGGCGGCGTGCATGTGGGCCTGCAGCTGCAGCGCGCACAGCGGGAACGGCGGCGCCGCGCCGCCCGCGCCCGGCACGTTGTGAGCCAGGAAACACTGCCGGGAAAAACACGGGATAAGCGCTGGGAAACTCGTTCCGGGGAAAATCCCGCGTTCCTTCCACGTTCCCGTCTTCCTAGGAAATCCCGGTGTTCACGGCGCATTCCTGAGGGAAAACCCCGCGCTCCTGGCCCATTCCTGAGGGAAAACCTGGCATTCCTGGTCCATTCCTGAGGGAAAACCCCCATTCCCAGCCCATTCCTGAGGGAAAACCCCCATTCCTGGCCCATTCCTGAGGGAAAACCCCCATTCCTGGCCCATTCCTGAGGGAAAACCCCCATTCCTGGTCCATTCCTGAGGGAAAACCCCCATTCCCGGCCCGTTCCTGAGGAAAAACCTGGCATTCCTGCCCCATTCCTGAGGGAAAACCTGGCATTCCTGCCCCATTCCTGAGGGAAAACCCAGAGTTCCTGGCCTATTCCTGAGGTAAAACCTGTTGTTCTCAGCCCATTCCTGAGGGAAGACCCTGCATTCCCGGCCTATTCCCGATTTCCTGAGGGAAAACCCGGCATTCCCGGCCTATTCATGAGACAAAACCCAGCATTCCTGGCCCAGTCCCGGTTTCCTGAGGGGAAACCCCATTCCCGGCCCGTTCCTGAGGGATGGAACCCCACGTTCCTGGCCCAGTCCCGGTTTCCTGAGGGAAAATCCTGGCATTCCCGGCCCATTCCTGAGGGAAAACCCCCATTCCTAGCCCATTCCCAGTTTCCTGAGGGAAAATGCCCATGTTCCCGGCCCATTCCCTTGCCCCGCATTCCCAGCCCATTCCTGAGGGAAAACCCCGGCATTCCCGGCCCATTCCTGAGGGAAAACCCCGGCATTTCTGGCCCATTCCTGAGGGAAAACCCCGGCATTCCCGGCCCATTCCTGAGGGAAAACCCCGGCATTCCCGGCCCATTCCCGAGGGAAAACCCCGGCATTCCCGGCCCATTCCTGAGGGAAAACCCCGGCATTCCCGGCCCATTCCCGAGGGAAAACCCCGGCATTCCCGGCCCATTCCCGGTTTTCCAGCACCTCTTTGATCAGCTGGGTCTCGTTGGCGTCCTCGAGCAGGAAAATGGGGAAGGGGAAATCCTCGAAGGCGAGGCCGCTCCCGCCGGGATTCCAGAGGGAGCCATTGCAGTGAGCGAACTGCGGCCCGTAGGCCTCCGAATACAGCCCTGCCCGGAAAAACGGGAAAAAACGGGAAAATGTGAGGGGAAAGTGAGGGAAAAATGGGGAAATATGAGGGAAAAATGGGGAAATGTGAGAGAAAAATGGGGAAATGTGAGAGAAAAATGGGGAAATGTGAGGGAAAAATGGGGAAATGTGAGGGAAAAATGGGGAAATGTGAGGGAAAAATGGGGAAATGTGAGGGAAAAATGGGGAAATGTGAGGGAAAAATGGGGAAATATGAGGGGAAAATGGGGAAATGTGAGGGAAAAATGGGGAAATGTGAGGGAAAAATGGGGAAATGTGAGGGAAAAATGGGGAAATGTGAGGGAAAAATGGGGAAATGTGAGGGAAAAATTGGGAAATATGAGGAGAAAATGGGAATGTATGAGGGGAAAGAGAGAGAAAAGTGGAGAAATACCAGAGAAAAATGAAAAATGTGACAGAAAAGGGGGAAAAGTGAGGGAAAAATAGGGAAATAAGAAGGAAAAACAGGAAAATATGAGGTAAAAATGAGGAAATATGAAGGAAAGTTGGGAAATATGAGAAGAAAACGGGAACATATGAGAGGAAAGGGAGGGAAAAGTGGAGAAATACGACAGAAAAATGGAAAATATGAGGGAAAAGTGGGAAAATAGGTAGTAATGGGGAAATATGAAGTAAAATTTGGGAAACGTGAAGGAAAGTTGCAAAATATGAAGGAAAACTGGGAAAAATGGGGAAATGTGAGGGGAAAAATGAGAGAAAAATGGGGAAAATATGGGGGGAAATTGGGAGAAAAATGAGAAAAAAATCAGAGAAAAATGGGAAAGAAACGAGAAAGAGAAAATGGGGAAAAAATGGGAAAAAGAAATGGGGGAAAGATTGGGATTTTCCTCACCAAATCCATCATTGGGACATTTCAATCCCGGGGAAAATCCTTGGGGAGGGGCGGGAGAGGCAGGGGAAACAGCCAGGCCAGAAATCCGGGAATTCTCCTTCAGCTGCATCAAAACTTTCCTGGAGGAGGGAAAACGGGGCTGGAATGAGGGGTGGATCCAGGGAAAAGTGAAATCCAACGGGGAAATCAAGGAAATGAAGGGAAAATTCCTGGATTTTGATCTTGGCAGAGCCGAAAACGCTGGGAAAAAAAATCACCGGGGAGAAAATTCCAACCGCGTCTTTCCCGGGAAAAGGAGCCCCAAGTCCATCCCGGGGTTAATTTTTCCCTCTTTTTTAAATCATGGATCAACGGCACGGATTCAGGAGTTCCCACAGGGCCCATCCCACAAAAAAAAAAAAAGCAGGAAAAACCAAGTTTAGGAAGGAACAAATCCACGAAATCCCAACAAAACCAGGAACGCTCCGAGCCCGGGAGTCGGGAGTGACGGGCTTGGAAAACGGGATTTGATCCCAGATTTTTTTGGGCTTCCCAATCCCAAGAAAACCGACCTGGAGAAGAGATTCCCGTCCAGCAGGATCATGTAGGGGGGATGGGGCCCTTTGGAGAGCGGCCATTCCAGGTCTTCCTCCTTTTCCACCACGTGGATCACGCCCGTGTTCCCGCTCAGCGAGGCTGGAAAAGCGGGAGCGGCCCCTCAGCGTTCCGGGGAAACGGCGCAAATTCCACCGTTTTCCGTGGAAAAGCAAAGGGAAGGGGATGAGGGAGCGAGGGGGAGAGGTGAGGGGTGGAAATGCGGGAATTGCCCCCTCAGAATTCCCAATATTCCCTGGGAAAGCAGGGCAGGAGGATGAGGGATTCAGGGAAGAGCTGTGGGGTGGAAATCTGGGAATTGTGCCCTCAGAATTCCCTGGAAAAACAGGGCAGGAGGATGAGGGATTGAAGGGAAGAGCTGTGGGACAAAAATGTGGGAATTGTCCCCTCAGAATTCCCAAATTTCTGCGGCTCTTGGACCGCCAGACTCACCCTCAGATACCCCCCAGCATTCCCAAATCCCAGAATTCCCGGGAATTCCCAGGAATTCCCATTTCTCTCACCCTGGCAGCCGCTCTGGTGCGTGGTGCTGAGCACCCCCCAGCATTCCCAAATCCCGGAATTCCCGGGAATTCCCATTTCTCACCCTGGCAGCCGCTCTGGTGCGTGGTGCTGAGCACCCCCCAGCATTCCCAAATCCCGGAATTCCCGGGAATTCCCATTTCTCACCCTGGCAGCCGCTCTGGTGCGTGGTGCTGAGCACCCCCCAGCATTCCCAAATCCCGGAATTCCCGGGAATTCCCGGGAATTCCCGTTTCTCACCCTGGCAGCCGGTCTGGTGCGTGGCGTTGAGCAGGCGCACGCAGGGCGCGGCGCGCTCCAGGGGGATGTAAATCTTCTTCTCCACTGAGCTGCTCCGGCACGGGCCTGCAGGGAATGCGGGAGAAATCCCGGGAATGGTGGGAAAATTCCCGGGAATGGTGGTGGGAAAATCCCGGGAATGGCAGCGGGAAAAATCCTGGGAATGGGGGCAGGAAAATCCCGGGAATGGCAGCAGGAAAAATCCCGGGAATGGCAGAAAAATCCTGGGAATGGCGGCGGGAAAATCCCGGGAATGGTGGTGGGGAAATCCCAGGAATGGCAGCGGGAAAAATCCTGGGAATGGTGGCGGAAAAAATCCCGGGAATGGCGGTGGGGAAAAATCCTGGGAATGGTGACAGGAAAATCCTGGGAA